GTCCCATACTCTTTTCAGCACTTTGCCCAGGCTGAGCCACCTGACAGCTGCATGGTAGGGTATGTCACGATGTTCAGTCTCACTTTCCTCCAAAAGTGCAACAAACTGTCTGTGATTCAATGCTCTTGCCCTGATGAAGTTAACTATTTTAGTTACAACATCAACAACATGGTTAATTTTTAACACTGACTTACACAACACTTCCTGATGTATAATACAATGCAAAAATACCTATTTCTGCTCAGGGTTAATTTCTGTCACTTTATCCTGCATTCTCTTCAATAGTCCAACATTTTTCCCTGTCAGATTTGGACAACCATCCGTTGTCACGCCTGCCAGCTTGTCCCATTTCAGTCCCAACTTTTCCACACATGCATTTACCTCCGTGAACAAATCACTCCCTGTTGTTGTACCTTTCATTGACTGCATGGCTGCCAGCTCCTCCGTGATTTTGAAGTCTGTAGTTATCCCACGTAGGAAGATGAGTAGCTGGGCAGTGTCACGTACATCGCAGCTCTCATCCAAAGCCAAGGAAAAAAAGTCAAAGTTGACCGCTCTGTTCTGCAGCTGAAGCTCCAGATTTCCCGCGATGTCCTCAATCCTCCTCGTAACAGTGCGTCGGGAGAGCGGCACTTTCAAACACTCCTTAATGAACTCTCCCTCCGAAAACGGTTTACTTTTTTTTGCAATTGTGTGGGATAAGACATAACTCGTCTTGACAGCTGCATCTCTGGATGTGGAATGTTTTGTGAAAATGTGTTGTTGGCTTTGCAGCTTAGCTAGCAAAGCATCCGACCCCTTTGCCCGCTCTTCCTCAGACAGGTTCTTGTATTTATCTGCGTGTTTGGTAGCATAGTGGCGACTCAAATTGTACTCCTTGAACACAGCGACCTGCGCACCACAAACTAAACACACAGCTTTACCTTTCACTTCTGTAAATAAATACTTAGCGGTCCATGTCTTGTTGAAAACGCGGCATTCAGTATCGATCTTTCTTTTTTTGCCCTTAGCGGACATTTCGAGGACTAGCCGGCCAGCATCACTCATAGCTGTTCACGGCATGCGCGTTTACGTAAATAAATTTAAAAAACAGCAGCGCCCTTTTCAAAATAAAAGCAACACAGTTAGAAAAGTATTTACGCCATGTGTAATGGCATCCAAGGTTTCCTTTGATGCCTCTATAGAGCGGGGTTGACGACACGCAATCCAGAGCAATAAGCAGCCGAAGGTTTTCAGTCAAAAAATGTAATTTATTAACAAAAAAGTATTGACTTAAATAGTCTCAAAATAACAAATATAACTCAATATTTCGGCGATATACTTTCCTATATAAACTATACTTTGCAGTCCAATTTGCAACACTAATTTCTGTTTACAATTTGCGGTGTAAAAACTGTTCCGCTCCCCGTCTCATCAGGTCTCATCAGGTCTCATCAGGTCTCATCAGGTCTCATCAGGTCTCATCAGGTCTCATCAGGTCTCATCAGGTCTCATCAGGTCTCATCAGGTCTCATCAGGTCTCATCAGGTCTCAGAGCACCACGGCTGTCCTCAATTACCTCACTTAAATAAACACCGGAAGGTACAAGGAAACAGATCATATTTACGATTTAAAATAAACAATCATTTCATCAAAAGATATTCACCATGGCAATATAAATCATTTTACATCATTAATTCATTTATCAAATTATGAATCTAAATAATAACTTTGACTTCATTGTGGCTCTAACACCATGCAAGCAATACAGCTGTGTTGCTTTTATTTTGAAAAGGTTGCTGTTTTTTTTCATTATGTTATAATTTATGATCAACCTCACACGGGCCGGCCAAGGCCGGCCAACGGGCCGGATGTGGCCCGCGGGCCGTAAAATGCCCACCCCTGCCCTAAATGATGACTTCTGGTGATGTTAGAGGGGGGGGGGGGGGGGGGGGAGACTTCTGTTGAGAAGACTGATCAATACCTCCATAACTTCAGTGTGGTTAGCTATGAATCTTCCAAAACTTCCAAGCACCTTGTCCTGGACATAGTTTCTACAGCATGAACTGTGCTAACAAGCTGAGATTCCACAGATTCTAGAAATATAAGTATCATCACTGAGCGATCAGAACTCGCGACAGGGGAAGCAAATACAGACATCACACGACGTAGCTTTAGGTAGCAAAACACGGAGATATGCTCACCTTTTGCAGAATAACAATTCTGATCAAAAATGAGAAAAACGCAGCTGAAGGTTAATCCATAGGTTAATCCAATGTGTCTGTCACTTTGAAAAATGATTGATGATCCATAATTCAATTTTTATGTCAAAAACGGAGTTTTCATTAGCTGCTAATGGTAGCTTCCAGAGTGTATGACAGCTTCCTGTTTTGTCTCCTTGGATACGAGTCCAAACAACTCACAGACTGCACCGGGCGCTCACGTAGGAGCCCTGTGACCATCAGATTTGACGACGCTGATTGGCTGAAATTATGTTTCGGCGGCATAGTTTAAAGATAGCAACAGTTGGCTTCTGCTGCACTTGCTGCCCTCTCGTCTGGGCGCTGTGCATAGCGCCCAGACGAGAGGGAGGGTAATGATACACGGGCAAGGCCAGGCAGGAAACATGTGACTTATCAGTAACTTTAGACATCGTAACACCATTTTAAACGAGATTTTATTGTAGATTATACATTTTACTGATACCAATTATATAATATTTACCTTGTTTATTAAAAATAAAAATAAAAATAAAAAATATATTTTTTAAATATTTATATTTTTTATTTTTTTTATTTTTTATGTGGGAAGAGGGGGGGCGGCGCCCCTAGCGCCCCTATGGGCCGGCCGCCACTGCTCACCTGTCTGTCTCTCTCTCACCTGTCTGTCTCTCTCTCACCTGTCTGTCTCTCTCTCTCTCACCTGTCTCTCTCTCACCTGTCTCTCTCTCACCTGTCTGTCTCTCTCTCATCTGTCTCTCTCTCACCTGTCTGTCTCTCACCTGTCTGTCTCTCACCTGTCTCTCTCTCACCTGTCTCTCTCTCACCTGTCTGTCTCTCACCTGTCTCTCTCTCACCTGTCTCTCTCTCACCTGTCTGTCTCTCACCTGTCTGTCTCTCACCTGTCTCTCACCTGTCTCTCACCTGTCTCTCTCTCACCTGTCTGTCTCTCACCTGTCTCTCTCTCACCTGTCTGTCTCTCACCTGTCTGTCTCTCACCTGTCTCTCTCTCACCTGTCTCTCTCTCACCTGTCTCTCTCTCACCTGTCTGTCTCTCACCTGTCTCTCTCTCACCTGTCTCTCTCTCACCTGTCTCTCTCTCACCTGTCTGTCTCTCACCTGTCTCTCTCTCACCTGTCTCTCTCTCACCTGTCTGTCTCTCACCTGTCTCTCTCTCACCTGTCTGTCTCTCACCTGTCTGTCTCTCACCTGTCTGTCTCTCACCTGTCTGTCTCTCACCTGTCTGTCTCTCACCTGTCTGTCTCTCACCTGTCTGTCTCTCACCTGTCTGTCTCTCACCTGTCTGTCTCTCACCTGTCTCTCTCTCACCTGTCTGTCTCTCACCTGTCTGTCTCTCACCTGTCTGTCTCTCACCTGTCTGTCTCTCACCTGTCTCTCTCTCACCTGTCTGTCTCTCACCTGTCTGTCTCTCACCTGTCTGTCTCTCACCTGTCTAGCTGTCTGAGGTGTTGTTGTGGTCAAAGGAACAGAATGAGGAGAAGAGTCCATACCTGACGGAGTTCACACAGCACTTCAACAACGTGTCCTTCTGGTACACACACACACACACACACACACACACACACACACACACACACACACACACACACACACACACACACACACACACACACACACACACACACACACACACACACACAAAACTGCTGTTCATCTGTGGCTCCCTCTGGGGGACCAATGATGTTGTTTTCTTTAAATTATGACTTACGTGTGTGTGTGTGTGTGTGTGTGTGTGTGTGTGTGTGTGTGTGTGTGTGTGTGTGTGTGTGTAGGGTACGTTCTGTCATCATGCTTCAGGATAAAGCTCAGGACAGAGAGAAGCTGCTGCTGAAGTTCATGAAGACCATGAAGGTGAGGGTTTGTATTTGAATAATAAACTTTATTGACAGATGAATGGAACAGGAAGTGATCATGTGATTGTTTGCAGCACCTGAGGAAGCTGAACAACTTTAACTCCTACCTGTCCATCCTGTCAGCGTTAGACTCCGCCCCCCTGAGGCGCCTGGAGTGGGGGAGGGGCACCACCGAGGTCTCACACTATATATATATATATACTTGAATACATGAATAGATATCAGTGTGTAACCTGAGTGCACTGTGTTCAGGCTCTGGAGGAGTTCAGCTCTTTGATTGACAGCTCGTCATCGTTCAGAATCTACAGAGCAGCTCTGGCTGAAGTGGCTCCTCCCTGTATCCCTTACCTGTAGGTCCACCTGTCTGTCTCTCACCTGTCTGTCTCTACCTGTAGGTCCACCTGTCTGTCTCTCACCTGTCTGTCTCTCACCTGTCTGTCTCTCACCTGTCTGTCTCTCACCTGTCTGTCTCTCACCTGTCTGTCTCTACCTGTAGGTCCACCTGTCTGTCTCTCACCTGTCTGTCTCTCACCTGTCTGTCTCTCACCTGTCTGTCTCTCACCTGTCTGTCTCTCACCTGTCTGTCTCTACCTGTCTGTCTCTCACCTGTCTCTCACCTGTCTCTCACCTGTCTGTCTCTACCTGTCTGTCTCTCACCTGTCTGTCTCTACCTGTCTGTCTCTCACCTGTCTGTCTCTACCTGTAGGTTCACCTGTCTGTCTCTCACCTGTCTGTCTCACCTGTCTCTCACCTGTCTGTCTCTCACCTGTCTGTCACCTGTCTGTCTCTCACCTGTCTGTCTCTCACCTGTCTGTCTCTCACCTGTCTGTCTCTACCTGTAGGTCCACCTGTCTCTCTCTCACCTGTCTGTCTCTCACCTGTCTGTCTCTCACCTGTCTGTCTCTACCTGTCTGTCTCTCACCTGTCTGTCTCTCACCTGTCTGTCTCTCACCTGTCTGTCTCTACCTGTAGGTCCACCTGTCTCTCTCTCACCTGTCTGTCTCTCACCTGTCTGTCTCTCACCTGTCTGTCTCTACCTGTCTGTCTCTCACCTGTCTGTCTCTCACCTGTCTGTCTCTCACCTGTCTGTCTCTCACCTGTCTGTCTCTACCTGTAGGTTCACCTGTCTGTCTCTCACCTGTCTGTCTCTACCTGTAGGTTCACCTGTCTGTCTCTACCTGTAGGTTCACCTGTCTGTCTCTCACCTGTCTGTCTCTCACCTGTCTGTCTCTACCTGTAGGTTCACCTGTCTGTCTCTCCCCTGTCTGTCTCTCACCTGTCTGTCTCTCACCTGTCTGTCTCTCCCCTGTCTGTCTCTCACCTGTCTGTCTCTCCCCTGTCTGTCTCTACCTGTAGGTTCACCTGTCTGTCTCTCACCTGTCTGTCTCTCACCTGTCTGTCTCTCCCCTGTCTGTCTCTACCTGTAGGTTCACCTGTCTGTCTCTCACCTGTCTGTCTCTCACCTGTCTGTCTCTACCTGTAGGTTCACCTGTCTGTCTCTCACCTGTCTGTCTTTCTCAAACGGTCTGTCTCTCACCTGTCTGTCTCTCACCTGTCTGTCTCTACCCGTAGGTCCACCTGTCTGTCTCTCACCTGTCTGTCTCTACCTGTCTGTCTCTCACCTGTCTGTCTCTACCTGTCTGTCTCTCACCTGTCTGTCTCTCACCTGTCTGTCTCTCACCTGTCTGTCTCTCACCTGTAGGTCCACCTATCTGTCTCTACCTGTCTGTCTCTCACCTGTCTGTCTCTCACCTGTCTGTCTTTACCTGTAGGTCCACCTGTCTGTCTCTCACCTGCCTGTCTGTCTCTCACCTGTCTGTCTCTACCTGTAGGTTCACCTGTCTGTCTCTCACCTGTCTGTCTCTCACCTGTCTCTCTCTCACCTGTCTGTCTCTCACCTGTCTCTCTCTCACCTGTCTGTCTCTTCAGGGGTTTGATCCTACAGGACTTGACTTTCGTCCACCTGGGGAACCCTGACACCTTGATAACATCACAGGGTTCAAAGGTGAACTTCTCTAAACGCTGGCAGCAGTTCAACATCCTGGACACGCTGCGGAGCTACCAGAAAGTGTGAGTACTAACATTAGCCTCCTTTAGCTTAGCGGTGGTGACGTGAAGTCATGTGACCGTGCTGTAGTTCCTTTATAGCCCAACATTAGCCTCCTTTAGCTTAGCGGTGGTGACGTGAAGTCATGTGACCGTGCTGTAGTTTCTTTATAGCCCAACATTAGCCTCCTTTAACTTAGCGGTGGTGACGTGAAGTCATGTGACCGTGCTGTAGTTCCTTTATAGCCCAACATTAGCCTCCTTTAGCTTAGCGGTGGTGACGTGAAGTCATGTGACCGTGCTGTAGTTTCTTTAGAGCCCAACATTAGCCACCTTTAGCTTAGCGGTGGTGACGTGAAGTCATGTGACCGTGCTGTAGTTCCTTTATAGCCCAACGTTAGCCTCCTTTAGCTTAGCGGTGGTGACGTGAAGTCATGTGACCGTGCTGTAGTTCCTTTATAGCCCAACATTAGCCACCTTTAGCTTAGCGGTGGTGACGTGAAGTCATGTGACCGTGCTGTAGTTCCTTTATAGCCCAACGTTAGCCTCCTTTAGCTTAGCGGTGGTGACGTGAAGTCATGTGACCGTGCTGTAGTTTCTTTATAGCCCAACATTAGCCACCTTTAGCTTAGCGGTGGTGACGTGAAGTCATGTGACCGTGCTGTAGTTCCTTTATAGCCCAACGTTAGCCTCCTTTAGCTTAGCGGTGGTGACGTGAAGTCATGTGACCGTGCTGTAGTTCCTTTATAGCCCAACGTTAGCCTCCTTTAGCTTAGCGGTGGTGACGTGAAGTCATGTGACCGTGCTGTAGTTCCTTCATAGCCCAACATTAGCCTCCTTTAGCTTAGCAGTGGTGACGTGAAGTCATGTGACCGTGCTGTAGTTCCTTCATAGCCCAACATTAGCCTCCTTTAGCTTAGCAGTGGTGACGTGAAGTCATGTGACCGTGCTGTAGTTCCTTCATAGCCCAACATTAGCCTCCTTTAGCTTAGCGGTGGTGACGTGAAGTCATGTGACCGTGCTGTAGTTCCTTTATAGCCCAACATTAGCCTCCTTTAGCTTAGCGGTGCTGACGTTTACCTGTCTCTCTCTCTGCAGGACGTATTCTCTGCAGCCTAATGATGACATAATTTCCTTCTTCAATGACTTCAGCGATCACCTGGCAGAAGAAGCATTGTGGGAACTCTCGCTCAGGCTCCGCCCACGAAATGCTCCACGAGCCAATCAGAGATGACGGACCTGTGCTAGCTGAATGCTAACATGTTGACATTGAGGGTTGAAGTGAATCAACATGAACTGGCACTAATCCTGGTCAGCCAATCATAGGCAGAGCGGGACTGTAGTATAATAAATAATATCACTGTTAATATTTACTTGTGTTTTTGGATGATGTTTGATAATTGGCTGTTAGTGTGATAGCATGACAGCTGATGAGGTTAGCCTGGAGCTAGCTGGGGTTAGCCAGGTGTTAGCACGAGCTAACCTTGAGTTAATCTGACCTCAGAACATTGTTCACATATTTTAATAAACATTATTTCCAACAGCCAGGTTTTCTCCGTCATCATTTATTTCATCGGTATGATCAGTATTTATTTTTAGATTTAACTTTATTTTAGTACAGGTAGTTATGATCTCAGAGTACTGTGCTACACACTGCTAACGCTAACGCCTCGTACACCCTGCTAACGCTAACGCCTCGTACACCCTGCTAACGCTAACGCCTCGCCTCGTCACCACACCAGAGAGTGACGTCACACCATCAGAGAGTGACGTCACCACACCAGAGAATGACGTCACACCATCAGAGAGTGACGTCACCGCACCAGAGAGTGACGTCACCACACCAGAGAGTGACGTCACACCATCAGAGAGTGACGTCACCACACCAGAGAGTGACGTCACACCATCAGAGAGTGACGTCACACCATCAGAGAGTGACGTCACCACACCAGAGAATGACGTCACACCATCAGAGAGTGACGTCACCGCACCAAAGAGTGACGTCACCACACCAGAGAGTGACGTCACACCACCAGAGAGTGACGTCACCGCACCAGAGAGTGACGTCACACCACCAGAGAGTGACGTCACACCACCAGAGAGTGACGTCACACCATCAGAGAGTGACGTCACCCCATCAGAGAGTGACGTCACCACACCAGAGAATGACGTCACACCATCAGAGAGTGACGTCACCGCACCAAAGAGTGACGTCACCACACCAGAGAGTGACGTCACACCACCAGAGAGTGACGTCACCGCACCAGAGAGTGACGTCACACCACCAGAGAGTGACGTCACACCATCAGAGAGTGACGTCACCGCACCAGAGAGTGACGTCACACCACCAGAGAATGACGTCACACCACCAGAGAATGACGTCACACCATCAGAGAGTGACGTCACCGCACCAGAGAGTGACGTGACAGCACCAGAGAGTGACGTCACACCACCAGAGAGTGACGTCACACCATCAGAGAGTGACGTCACCACACCAGAGAGTGACGTCACAGCACCAGAGAGTGACGTCACACCATCAGAGAATGACGTCACACCATCAGAGAGTGACGTCACCACACCAGAGAAGTGACGTCACAGCATCAGAGATTGACGTCACCTCACCAGAGAGTGACGTCACCTCACCAGAGAGTGACGTCACACCACCAGAGAGTGACGTCACACCACCAGAGAGTGACGTGACAGCACCAGAGAGTGACGTCACCGCACCAGAGAGTGACGTGACAGCACCAGAGAGTGATGTCACACCATCAGAGAGTGACGTCACCGCACCAGAGAGTGACGTCACAGCACCAGAGAGTGACGTCACACCATCAGAGAGTGACGTCACCACATCAGAGAGTGACGTCACACCACCAGAGAGTGACGTCACACCATCAGAGAGTGACGTCACACCACCAGAGAGTGACGTCACACCATCAGAGAGTGACGTCACCACACCAGAGAGTGACGTCACAGCATCAGAGAGTGACGTCACCGCACCAGAGAGTGACGTCACCGCACCAGAGAGTGACGTCACCGCACCAGAGAGTGACGTCACCGCACCAGAGAGTGACGTGACAGCACCAGAGAGTGACGTCACCGCACCAGAGAGTGACGTCACACCACCAGAGAGTGACGTCACACCACCAGAGAGTGACGTCACCGCACCAGAGAGTGACGTGACAGCACCAGAGAGTGACGTCACCGCACCAGAGAGTGACGTCACACCATCAGAGAGTGACGTCACACCACCAGAGAGTGACGTCACCACACCAGAGAGTGACGTCACACCACCAGAGAGTGACGTCACACCACCAGAGAGTGACGTCACCGCACCAGAGAGTGACGTGACAGCACCAGAGAGTGACGTCACCGCACCAGAGAGTGACGTCACACCATCAGAGAGTGACGTCACACCACCAGAGAGTGACGTCACCGCACCAGAGAGTGACGTCACAGCACCAGAGAGTGACGTCACACCATCAGAGAGTGACGTCACCGCACCAGAGAGTGACGACACCACCAGAGAGTGACGTCACACCACCAGAGAGTGACGTCACACCACCAGAGAGTGACGTCACCGCACCAGAGAGTGACGTCACACCATCAGAGAGTGACGTCACCGCACCAGAGAGTGACGTCACCGCACCAGAGAGTGACGTCACCGCACCAGAGAGTGACGTCACAGCACCAGAGAGTGACGTCACACCACCAGAGAGTGACGTCACACCACCAGAGAGTGACGTCACCGCACCAGAGAGTGACGTCACACCACCAGAGAGTGAATGGAAGCGTCTCCAACGGAACGCGTAAAGCAGGTTTAAACAAAGTGTAGAGCAGCGGTTCCCAACCTGTGGTGTGCATTTCCGGGTCACTACCGGAGGACCGAGGAGTCGAGGGTTGCATTCGAATAGTCCATTTAGCTTAGGAACCTTCCTAACGGAGTGAAATGACCCGGAAGTCCCTCAGTGGCAGCCATGATAAGTGCCGTTCGAATTCTCTAAATTAAAAGGAAAGGAGGTTTCAAACTTCCTTTATAACCTCATTTAGCTTAGGAACCACTGGACCTCCCTAACCGAAAGGAGAGGAGAAAATGCTGCCCCACAATGCCTTGCAGCCACAGCATTTGCCGTCACACAACAGTCGGCCGTTCACGGAAACAACCGATTATGAACGAGAAATGATATCATGAAAGTTACGGTGCTTATTAAGCTTTTTAAAACATATGTGGTAAGTTGCCAAAGTCCTTTGTTTTGAACGTTCATCAGTATTATAATCAAAAAGAGAAATATGAACGTTAGTTTTTACTGAAATGATCAAATAAAGTCAACATTTCACAGTCTTTACTGAGCTGTGTGGGGTTTGTTCAACTTTTAAAAGATGTTTGAATGGTGATATACACAGTGATAGATGTTAAGGACTAACGTTTAGAATAAATACATTTGTATTGATTTGAAGATCTTTTCATACAATCATACGTATTGGGATCATTTGTATTAATGTGGACCGGAGGGAGAGGGTGACGAGCATAAGTTTCACTTTCCTTTTTTATTTCAATTCCAACTTTGGTCATGAAGAATATGTTTCTCTGTTGTCCCCGTTCATAAAGCATAACAGCATCAGAGCACGGTGCAGAGTCTCTAGATGAGTTTACAGTAGTCCCTCGTTCCAGTGGCGGCCGGTGGTCTTTTTTTTTGGTGGGGCTCTTGGCGTACCGTAAGTGACCTACCCGGGGGGTCCGGGGGGTTTCCCCCCCCGAAATTTTTTTTCGAGAAATGACCCCTTAAATGATGACTTCTGGTGATGTTAGAGGGGGGGGGAAAGGAGAAATCGAGGCTTAAAAATATGAGAAGACTGATCAATACCTCCATAATCTTCAGTGTGGAAAATATTATTTATCAACCTGAACATCTACTACTTTACCAGGAATTTGTGTTCTCAGAACTGGTCTGTTTTTTTCTTTCTTAAAACTGTTCATGTTTTATGAACCAACACCTTCACCAAGTAGCTTTACAGTGAACTGCATGTGAGATATAAAATTAATAGCATCTTTTCAGTAGCATTAATTATAAATATTTAAGTGGTTCAATACAAGTCACTACAGCATTTCAAACTGAACTGTGAATAAATGCAATTTAAAAAAAATAACCACAGCACAAAATGTCATAAATTGTTTTTTCTTTGTTTCTCTGAGGATTATTTACAAACAGGCTTATTTACATATAGCAATAACTCAGAAATGAAAAAGCTACATCGTCTAACACGAACAACCAGTTAGCATAATGATAATATATGTGTTATGTACAATGTAACTGGCAAGGCTAGAGCAAGAAAGAACATAAAGTTTGCAAAAGGTTTAAATAACTTCAAGTATCTGTCTTCAGATTACATGGAGGTTTTAGTCCGATGGGAAGCAGATTTTAAGCGACACCGAAGATAAACCAAAGATGTGGTGGAGCTGCAAACCGTGTAGTGTTGCTGGGACAGAACAGGAGCTATAACCGTTGGAAAATACATCACAGACAATGCAACAAACGTGGAGACAGAACAATCACTTCTGTGATAAATGCCCACTTATTAATAAACTTCTAACAACCATGGGAAACCTCCTCTCTACATATAAAGTGATATCCAAGCATGGGAAACAAAAGACAGCATTTACCTGTTTGCATCCAGCTAGCCAAGCCTTTCTTGTGTACCAGCTACTTGCGAAGCCTCGTGTATAAATGTTGTCTTTTTCACGAGATTGCTGCGATATATTCAAATCGGGTTGGTCCGGTGCAAGGTCTTTAAGCAACAATTTATCTGCCAAACTTCTCCTTTCGAAAGGATTGGAGATTAGCTCTTGAACAGAATTAGGCGGGGACCGAGGTCCGGAGACTCCACCTGCACACGAAGCCATCCTCATCAACTACTGCGTCAACCGGATACGAGTCACTGTCCAAACTACTCACAGACTGCACTGGGCGCTGACATTGGCGCCCGGTGACCGTCATCTTTGACGACGCTGATTGGCTGAAATTATATTTTCGCGGCATAGTTTACACGTTACAGATAGCAACAGTCAGCTGCTGGTGGCTGCTGCTGCACTGGTTGAAGGCTCCTCTCTTAGCGCCCAGACGAGAGAAGGTGCATGGGCAAGGCCAGGCAGGAAACATGTGACTTATCAGTAACTTTAGACATCGTAACACAATTTTAAACGAGATTTTATTGTAGATTATACATTTTACTGATACCAATTATATAATATTTACCTTGTTCATTAAAAATAAAAATAAAAACATATATATTTTTTTAAACATATATATTTCTTTTTAATTTTAATTTTAATTATTTTTTTTTTTTTTTTTTTTCAATATGGGAAGAGGTGGGGCGGCGCCCCTAGCGCCCCTATGGACCGGCCGCCACTGCCTCGTTCTTATTAAACATCCATGTTGTAGTCCGCTGTATAGAAAACTGTAGTTTCCATAGTTTCCCCACAGCAGCAGGCGCACATTTATGACCTCTGCTGGCGCATCATAAACACGTCGGATAGTGAAAGTGCAGTCGGATTCTCTAAAGTGCCGCAGTCTCTTCTCCTAAATCCTTTTGAATTCTCCTATCCACTATCCCTTAACCCCATGACGTTTCACTCCGAGGTCAAGGAATAGACGATAGGGTTAGAACTTAGGAGCTGTTTTTTTGGAGTATTCGAACGCAACCGAGGAGGCGAGGAGGCGAGGAGGTGAGGAGGGGAAATGAGAGGTATAGAGGTGATACAGAACAGAGAGGAGCATATTATGGGATGTTTTCATTTCTAATATGAATCACGGTTAGTGTATTTGTCCCGCAGTGTGGACAGGTATTACACAGCAAGAGAGCAGATAACCACGTTGTTAACAACAAAAACACAGTAAGTAAACAACAACAACAGCAAGAGATCAGTACGGCAAGGTAAACAAAGACTCAGTTGCAGTTTAGAGAAGAGTGCTGTTTACAGATTACACATAGAGAGTGTTGTTGTTTACAGGCAGTGTTTATCCGGGGTAAACAGAGCAGGATGCTTTAGTAAATAAAGTATAATATAACGTTTTTATACTCGAAGTGTAGTTACACCCTCCCACCGCAGGGGCAGTGCAGGCCAGTCTGAGAGCCAACAGAGAGAGAGAGAGGAAAAAGCAGGCAGTAATAATCAAACATCGATCCGCTGCTCCCAAACACACCGGAGAACCTGAGGAGCAGGAGAACCGGCTGACTAGCAGCTGATTACCGGCTGATTACCGGCTGATTACCGGCTGCAGGATGCTCCGTTTAACGGGGGTGTAGTGACGTCACCAGGTGAGCTGCGGCAGGATCAGTATGAAAACACCTGAGAGCTAACGGCTAATGCTAACCGTTAGCTCTCTGTGAAATATAATAAATATAAATATAAGTTTCTGAGGTTTAAATCTGGTTCATGAAGAGTATCTTGATCATCAGCAGGAGGGGACTCTTTAAAGTAGAGACACTACATACTGATATACACCTGAACATCAGCAGGAGAGGACTCTTTAAAGTAGAGACACTACATACTGATATACACCTGAACATCAGCAGGAGAGGACTCTTTAAAGTAGAGACACTACATACTGATATACACCTGAACATCAGCAGGAGAGGACTCTTTAAAGTAGAGACACTACATACTGATATACACCTGAACATCAGCAGGAGAGGACTCTTTAAAGTAGAGACACTACATACAGATATACACCTGAACATCAGCAGGAGAGGACTCTTTAAAGTAGAGACACTACATACTGATATACACCTGAACATCAGCAGGAGAGGACTCTTTAAAGTAGAGACACTACATACTGATATACACCTGAACATCAGCAGGAGAGGACTCTTTAAAGTAGAGACACTACATACTGATATACACCTGAACATCAGCAGGAGAGGACTCTTTAAAGTAGAGACACTACATACTGATATACACCTGAACATCAGCAGGAGAGGACTCTTTAAAGTAGAGAGACTACATACTGATATACACCTGAACATCAGCAGGAGAGGACTCTTTAAAGTAGAGACACTACATACTGATATACACCTGAACATCAGCAGGAGAGGACTCTTTAAAGTAGAGACACTACATACTGATATACACCTGAACATCAGCAGGAGAGGACTCTTTAAAGTAGAGACACTACATACTGATATACACCTGAACATCAGCAGGAGAGGACTCTTTAAAGTAGAGACACTACATACTGATATACACCTGAACATCAGCAGGAGAGGACTCTTTAAAGTAGAGACACTACATACTGATATACACCTGAACATCAGCAGGTGAGGACTCTTTAAAGTAGAGACACTACATACTGATATACACCTGAACATCAGCAGGAGAGGACTCTTTAAAGTAGAGACACTACATACTGATATACACCTGAACATCAGCAGGAGAGGACTCTTTAAAGTAGAGACACTACATACTGATATACACCTGAACATCAGCAGGAGAGGACTCTTTAAAGTAGAGACACTACATACTGATATACACCTGAACATCAGCAGGTGAGGACTCTTTAAAGTAGAGACACTACATACTGATATACACCTGAACATCAGCAGGAGGGGACTCTTTAAAGTAGAGACACTACATACTGATATACACCTGAACATCAGCAGGAGAGGACTCTTTAAAGTAGAGACACTACATACTGATATACACCTGAACATCAGCAGGAGAGGACTCTTTAAAGTAGAGACACTACATACTGATATACACCTGAACATCAACAGGAGAGGACTCTTTAAAGTAGAGACACTACATACTGATATACACCTGAACATCAGCAGGAGAGGACTCTTTAAAGTAGACACACTACATACTGTTATACACCTGAACATCAGCAGGAGAGGACTCTTTAAAGTAGAGACACTACATACTGATATACACCTGAACATCAGCAGGAGAGGACTCTTTAAAGTAGAGACACTACATACTGATATACACCTGAACATCAGCAGGAGAGGACTCTTTAAAGTAGAGACACTACATACTGATATACACCTGAACATCATCAGGAGAGGACTCTTTAAAGTAGAGACACTACATACTGATATACACCTGAACATCAGCAGGAGAGGACTCTTTAAAGTAGAGACACTACATACTGATATACACCTGAACATCAGCAGGAGAGGACTCTTTAAAGTAGAGACACTACATACTGTTATACACCTGAACATCAGCAGGAGAGGACTCTTTAAAGTAGAGACACTACATACTGATATACACCTGAACATCAGCAGGAGAGGACTCTTTAAAGTAGAGACACTACATACTGATATACACCTGAACATCAGCAGGAGAGGACTCTTTAAAGTAGAGACACTACATACTGATATACACCTGAACATCAGCAGGAGAGGACTCTTTAAAGTAGAGACACTACATACTGATATACACCTGAACATCAGCAGGAGAGGACTCTTTAAAGTAGAGACACTACACACTGATATACACCTGACCATCAGCAGGAGAGGACTCTTTAAAGTAGAGACACTACATACTGATATACACCTGAACATCAGCAGGAGAGGACTCTTTAAAGTAGAGACACTACATACTGATATACACATGAACATCAGCAGGAGGGGACTCTTTAAAGTAGAGACACTACATACTGATATACACCTGAACATCAGCAGGAGAGGACTCTTTAAAGTAGAGACACTACATACTGATATACACCTGAACATCAGCAGGAGAGGACTCTTTAAAGTAGAGACACTATATACTGATATACACCTGAACATCAGCAGGAGAGGACTCTTTAAAGTAGAGACACTACATACTGATATACACCTGAACATCAGCAGGAGAGGACTCTTTAAAGTAGAGACACTATATACTGATATACACCTGAACATCAGCAGGAGAGGACTCTTTAAAGTAGAGACACTACATACTGATATACACCTGAACATCAGCAGGGGAGGACTCTTTAAAGTAGAGACACTACATACTGATATACACCTGAACATCAGCAGGAGAGGACTCTTTAAAGTAGAGACACTACATACTGATATACACCTGAACATCAGCAGGAGAGGACTCTTTAAAGTAGAGACACTACATACTGATATACACCTGAACATCAGCAGGAGAGGACTCTTTAAAGTAGAGACACTACATACTGATATACACCTGAACATCAGCAGGAGAGGACTCTTTAAAGTAGAGACACTACATACTGATATACACCTGAACATCAGCAGGAGAGGACTCTTTAAAGTAGAGACACTACATACTGATATACACCTGAACATCAGCAGGGGAGGACTCTTTAAAGTAGAGACACTACATACTGATATACACCTGAACATCAGCAGGAGAGGACTCTTTAAAGTAGAGACACTACATACTGATATACACCTGAACATCAGCAGGAGAGGACTCTTTAAAGTAGAGACACTACATACTGATATACACCTGAACATCAGCAGGAGAGGACTCTTTAAAGTAGAGACACTACATACTGATATACACCTGAACATCAGCAGGAGAGGACTCTTTAAAGTAGAGACACTACATACTGATATACACCTGAACATCAGCAGGAGAGGACTCTTTAAAGTAGAGACACTACATACTGATATACACCTGAACATCAGCAGGAGAGGACTCTTTAAAGTAGAGACACTACATACAGATATACACCTGAACATCAGCAGGAGAGGACTCTTTAAAGTAGAGACACTACATACTGATATACACCTGAACATCAGCAGGAGAGGACTCTTTAAAGTAGAGACACTACATACTGATATACACCTGAACATCAGCAGGAGAGGACTCTTTAAAGTAGAGACACTACATACTGATATACACCTGAACATCAGCAGGAGAGGACTCTTTAAAGCAGAGACACTACATACTGATATACACCTGAACATCAGCAGGAGAGGACTCTTTAAAGTAGAGACACTACATACTGATATACACCTGAACATCAGCAGGAGAGGACTCTTTAAAGTAGAGACACTACATACTGATATACACCTGAACATCAGCAGGAGAGGACTCTTTAAAGCAGAGGACACTACATACTGATATACACCTGAACATCAGCAGGAGAGGACTCTTTAAAGTAGAGACACTACATACTGATATACACCTGAACATCAGCAGGAGAGGACTCTTTAAAGTAGAGACACTACATACTGATATACACCTGAACATCAGCAGGAGAGGACTCTTTAAAGCAGGTGCTAACCTCCTGTTTCTCTCAGGTATGCTGCAGCTCCCCCTGCTGGTCACTGCTCAGGTGGACCTGGTCCTGCTTGTCATCACTCTGCTCTCCATGTGGAGCCGCCTGAGCCACCTGAGCTACCCCAACGCTGTGGTGTGAGTGCCACACACACACACACACACACACACACACACACACACACACACACACACACACACACACACACACACACACACACACACACACACACACACACACACACACACACACACCTTTGATCAAATTAAATCAGGTTTTATTTATATAGCACATTTTAAAAGCGATTTTTGGTCGAGCCAAAGTGCTGTACATATAATAAAAACACTTTACTACAATCGCAAAACAGAAGACAATAAATTACAACAGCAAAAATAAAAATCACACACAGGGAAAAGTCAGGAGTCGTGCTCCGCTCTGACTAGAAGGCCAGAGAGAAGAAGTGAGTCTTAAAGAGTAGATTTAAAACCCCCTAGGGTCTGGGCCGACCTCACATGGAGGGGCAGAGTGTTCCAGAGCCTAGGGCCAGCTGCTGAGAAGGCTCGGTGCCCTCGGGTTTTGAGCCTGGTCTTGGGCACTACCAGCAGCAGCTGGTCAGCAGACCTTAAGGCTCTGGAGTGTAGCGCTGGAGGAGTTCAGCTATATAGGGAAGCCAGTGCAGTGAGGATGTTTCTCTGCTTCAGGTTCGATGAGGTGTATTACGGGCAGTTTGTTTCTCTCTACATGAAGAGGGTTTTCTTCATCGATGATAGCGGGCCGCCGCTCGGTCACATGATCCTCGCCCTCGGAGGTCAGTTACCACGACAACCACTTCACCCCACATTAGGTCACCTGTACGATGATGTCATTAAAGTGTGTGTGTGTGTGTGTTACAGCGTACTTCGGAGGTTTCGATGGAAACTTTGTGTGGAACAGAATCGGCGCAGGTAGTGTGTGTGTGTGTGTGTGTGTGTGTGTGTGTGTGTGTGTGTGTGTGTGTGTGTGTGTGTGTGTGTGTGTGTGTGTGTGTGTGTGTGTGTGTGTGTGTGTGTGTGTGTGTGTGTGTGTGTGTGTGTGTGTGTGTGTGTGTGTGTGTGTGTGTGTGTGTGTGTGTGTGTGCACAGAGTACAGTGTGTGTGTGTGTCACAGAGTACAGTGTGTGTGTTCTCCACAGAGTACAGTGTGTGTGTGTGTCACAGAGTACAGTGTGTGTGTTCTCCACAGAGTACAGTGTGTGTGTGTGTGTGTGTGTTCTCCACAGAGTACAGTGTGTGTGTGTGTGTGTGTGTGTGTGTGTGTGTCACAGAGTACAGTGTGTGTGTGTGTGTGTGTGTGTCACAGAGTACAGTGTGTGTGTGTCCACAGAGTACAGTGTGTGTGTGTGTGTGTGTGTGTGTGTGTGTGTGTGTGTGTGTGTCACAGAGTACAGTGTGTGTGTGTGTGTCACAGAGTGCTCTCTCTCTCCACAGAGTACCCCAGCAATGTGAGTGTGTGCTTCCTGCGGCTGTGTCCCGCTGTGTGTGGCTCTCTCTCTGTTCCTCTGGTCTACCTGCTCACTCTGGAGCTTCGGTTCTCTCACCTGTCTGCTCTGGGAGCTGCTCTGCTGCTGCTGCTGGGTGAGTACACACACACACACACACACACACACACACACACACACACACACACACACACACACACACACACACACACACACACACACACACACACACACACACACACACACACACACACACACACACACACACACACACACAGGGTTCAGGGTATGAATAGTGTGTTGTGTGCTGAGTGTGGTGCGTTCAGGGTCTGAAGTGTGTGTTGTGTGCTGAGTGTGGTGCGTTCAGGGACTGAAGTGTGTGTTGTAGTGTGCTGAGTGTGGTGCGTTCAGGGTCTGAAGTGTGTGTTGTGTGCTGAGTGTGGTGCGTTCAGGGACTGAAGTGTGTGTTGTAGTGTGCTGAGTGTGGTGCGTTCAGGGTCTGAAGTGTGTGCTGAGTGTGCTGAGTTCATAGTCTGAAGTGTGTGTTGTAGTGTGCGGAGTGTGGTGCATTCAGGGTCTGATGTGTGTGTGTGCTGAGTGTGGTGCGTTCAGGGTCTGAAGTGTGTGTTGTAGTGTGCTGAGTGTGGTGCGTTCAGGGACTGAAGTGTGTGTTGTAGTGTGCTGAGTGTGGTGCGTTCAAGGACTGAAGTGTGTGTTGTAGTGTGCTGAGTGTGGTGCGTTCAAGGACTGAAGTGTGTGTTGTAGTGTGCTGAGTTCAGGGACTGAAGTGTGTGTTGTAGTGTGCTGTAGTGTGCTGAGTGTGGTGCGTTCAGGGTCTGAAGTGTGTGTTGTAGTGTGCTGAGTGTGGTGCGTTCAGGGTCTGAAGTGTGTGTTGTAGTGTGCTGAGTGTGGTGCGTTCAGGGACTGAAGTGTGTGTTGTAGTGTGCTGAGTGT